CACTGAGAAACGTCAATTGATGAAAAACTTAAGTATCAAAGGTTTTTTTAACTTGTAATTGTCACATTTTTACCCAAAAAAACTTGTAATGGTCACATTAACGCAAAGGAGGTGACTCCTCTCATGTAGTTTTGCAACAAAAGAGATGTATAGTGGTGTTCACTCATCTTCCTGGCTGCGCAACCTAGCCAATTTGTTAGTCACTGCAACATCTAACTGGGCCGCACGCTCAACAATTTCTTTCCGCTTCTTGGTTGAAACATTGTGGGCAATCTCAGCACAGTAAGTCTTGAAATATGTATATCACATTTAGCACTGCTAATAATTACAAACCTGTTGTGCATCATTAAGAGTTCCAACTCTAGGACGTTATGCACAACGAACTTCTTGAATCCATTTTAGGCAGATAATGGCGGGTTTTCTTGTCTGAGCCATAGCCGATGTTAGGCATCAAAGTGCATCCTTTGAACTTTCTCCTCACACAGGAGTCAATACCCTTGGGCCTACGCCAGTTTTCCTGCCACAATAAAAACACATTAAACCGCCAAGTAAATCCAGCGCATAGAAAATGTCAAAACTCAAAACAGACTCAAAATGTTACTATCGACCAATATGGCCAGCTTGGGCAGAGCCATATTCTTGCCAGACGAGAGAAAATCCATATAGATGGGAGATTGAAAATTGAAGCTTCCATTGATGAAGATACATGGGCCCGTTTCAAACCATGCATAATAAACAAGGTGGGGAACAATATTTCATTAAAAATAAAATGTTGAAGTGGCAACTCAACGAAGCAAAGAATCATGGGAAGAAAATAGTACTACCTCTGTCCCGTTGGAGGATTCCCATAGCAAAACGACACGGTTATTTAGACAATAATTAAATAAAGTACTTCACATATTTTTGAGAAATAATTTTAATAGATATATATTATAATGTAGTTAGTATTGATAATTGTGATGTTATAAATGTATTATTTTTAATGTTTAATGATTAATTTGTCACTTAAGATTGTTAATTGTTTCCTAAAATGAAAATGGAAACCTTTATATGGGAGGTCCAAAAAAGGAAAGTGGGAATCTTCTGATGGGACGGAGGGAGTATGAGTAATTAGAGGGGACATAAATTAGACATGATAGCAGGGTATTCCTGTGACAAGATCACATGTTCAACTTCAACCCCCGAGGGAAAGTGTCAAACTGTCGTGTAGAAACTTCTCTCATAAGTCATAATGTCCTATTGTAATGTCCCTCTGAAATTAATCACAGTCAGGGGCGGACCGTAGTACAGACCCAGGGGGCGGTCGCCCCCCAACAACAAAATTTTTTAGTGTATATATATAATAAAAAATAATTTTCACCCTCCCAAAAAATATTTTGTTTAAGTTACCGCCCTCCCAAGACAAACTTCCTCGGTCCGCCTCTGATCACAGTATACCTTAGCAGAGATGTAATGGTCACTCTGTGGCCTCTTAGGGAGTGTTTGCGATTGCTTCCACTTTTAAAAAGTGATTTTTTAAAGTGATTTTGGGAAAAGTGATTAATAGTAAAAGTTGGTAGTGTTTGAGAAAAAAGTGATTCTGAAAAAGTAAAAGTTGGTAGTGTTTGGTAAAATAAGTACTTTTTGTGTAATAGAAAAAGTGAGAAGCAGTTTAAAGCACCCTTCTACCTGCTTCCAGCTTTTAGCTTTTAAGTGATTAATTTAAACAGAAGCTATCATTTGAAAACACTCTTTTCAACTTTTTTTAAGCCAAAAGCTGAAAAGCACTTTTTTTAATCTACCCCAAACACTGCTTTAAACTTGTTGACGCGCTTTTTCACAATCTTCTTGTTTAGCAACGGAACAGCCATTGTTTCTGAAAAAATTAGGCATAAGCATAACTTTGAAATGCAGGCCAAAGATATTCAACTTTACAAAACAAACGAGCAGCTCATTAGTTCTTGTGAAACAAAGAAAATAATTGAGCATTAAAGATTTTATGTACAGTGAACTTAGAGCCAAGGCATACAATAATTCATAAAACTGTGATTCCCTCCTCAAACCCACTTAGGAACTTACTCCTTACGTTATATTTAAAATCACAAGAATGAAATTATAAGTGCCCAACGAAAAATAAACATTTCCTACTTTCAGTAATAACATGGGAATTTCAGTAAAAAAAATACTGGTAATATTCCATAAGAAATTGGGATATCTAACAAAGACAATGCACTCCCCTTTTCCACCAAATTGGAACTGAAAGACTATTCCTGAAATAGAAATATATGTAGAAGCGGTTTGAGTGTTTGACAGAAAGATTAGCAGATATACGCATATACCTGATTTTTATTATACGTACTATCTCTCCGACCACAAAAAGAGTATTGTTTGACCATATATCATGATTATACTTCGTATGTAAGAATTTCTTCATTTGTTTAACTAAAATTATGATGTATGGCTTGTTTATCTCACTTCTTGTTGGTAATTTAATGACATTTTACGTGAAAATTGGCCTTGTTTGACCAGAACTAAATCTTTTTGGAGCAAAAACTAAATCTTTTTGTAACATGCTTTTAGGGAAAAAAAATACATAGCAGTAGAAAAAACTGAAATGCAATCAACCCCAATAAATGATGAGCAATCCTGATTAGCTATTATTCGGAAGAACTTGGAAGTTGGAAGGCTATATAAACACAATACGTAGATAAAGGAATCAAATGCAACGAAGTGAGGAAAAAAGGAACGGTTCCTTACCTGCTTCAGCTGGTCGCGGCTGTTACATATTAAACTTGTTAGCTAATATGGTTATTATCTTATTTATTTATTTATTTATTTATTTATTTATTTATTTGTTTTCCTTTATGTTGATGTACTTTGTGGGTGTACGTGTGCTAGAAAGTGGGGAGGTTTTTTCATCCACTTAATCTAACCAACTTCCCCTTTCATTTTGATATAAAATGAATGAATTGGGCGTAGGTGAAGATTAAGACGGTTTTTCCTTCTCATTGAAGCATTCTACACATTATGAATGAATATATGAATACATTTTGATCTTCTCTTTTATGAATCAAAGTCAGTAGTACATCAATTGGTATCAGAGCCCACGGTTAAGAGGATCCTGCAGTCATGAGTCCATCCTCATCTTCATCAACAAGTGAAGGAATCGGAGATACACATGGTATCTTTGATCGTGATGAAGAAGATGCAGGGAAGTGCCAAAGTAAAGAAGGCACTGTCACATTAAAGTATCCTATGTTGACCCGGAGTAACTACGCAGCATGGGCTATTAAAATGGAAGTCTACATGATAGCTCAAGGTGTATGGGATGCTGTAGAGTCACAAGGTCCGGTTGATCGGATGAAGGATAAGATGGCATTGGCTGCAATCTATCAAGGAATAGGAGAGGACACTCTTCTTCAATTAGGAGCAAAAAGGACTGCTAGAGAAGCTTGGAACATGCTGAGCACAATGAACCTTGGTGCTGAAAGAGTAAAAGAAGTACGCACTCAGGCTTTGTTAAGAGATTTTGAAGGAATAAGAATGAGTGATACTGAAAGCGTAGATGATTTCTCTGGTAAACTGCAGATCATTGTGACCAAGCTTCGAGGACTGGGTAATGTGGTAGAAGAGGAGCAGGTTGTTAAGAAACTACTGAGAGGTGCATCACCTAAGTTCTTACAACTGGCATCTACTATAGAGGAGTTTTGTGATTTAAAAGTTAAGACTTCAGAAGAGGTGATTGGATCCCTAAAAGCCCATGAAGAAAGACTAGTGGGACAGTCTAATACCAATCCAGAGACAGTACTTCTCACAAGGGTAGAGTGGAAAGCAAGGGAAGAGAACATGACTCAAAACCATGTAAATAGGGATTCACTTGTACCTAGAGGAAGAGGCAGAGGCAGAGGTAGAGGAAGAGGCCACGGGAGAACAGGAAATGAAGACCAACAACCTCAGCAAAAGAGAAAATTTGACAAGTCTAAGATAAAGTGTTATAACTGCAGCAAGATGGGTCATTTTGCATCTGAATGTACACAGGAGGCTAAAGAAGAGGAAATAAATTTTGTAGAAGAAGAACCTCAGGAAGCACCCTCTCTGATGATAATAGAAACCTGTGAATTGACAAAATCATAAGTGTCAGTGCAGAACATAGCAAAAAGTAGCAAAGAGATGGATGAAGATCACAAGGTGTGGTGGTACCTAGACACAGGGGCAAGCAACCATATGACTGGGAACAAATCTTATTTCACAAGCCTTGACTCATCAGTACAAGGAAAAGTAAGGTTTGGAGACAATTCAATGGTGGATATCACAGGACAAGGCACAATTGAGTTTGAATGTAAATCAGGTAAGCACATGACACTACCAAATGTGTATTACATTCCAAGACTTAAAAGCAATATTATAAGTCTTGGGCAATTGGATGAACTGGGAGGACAAGTGCTGCTTAAAGGAGGCACTCTGAAGGTCTTGGATAAAGACAGCAAGCTCATTTTCAAGGTGGACAGAAGACAAAACAAGTTATTCATGGTGTGCTTAAAAGTAGCTCAAAAGAGTTGTCTGTTGAGTAAAGTAAGGAGCACTGACCTACTTTGGCATGCTAGATATGGGCATTTGAACTTCCAAGCACTGAACAAGATGTCAAACAACTCATTGCTAGATAGGTCAGATAAGTCACATTTGTGAAGGGTGCATGATGGGCAAGCAACACAGGACATCCTTTCCACAGAAGTCATCATACAAAGCACAAGGAAAGCTAGAGCTAGTCCATTGTGACCTGTGTGGTCCTATAACTCCATCAACATCAGGAGGGTCAAACTGTAGGCAGATACAAGATTTCAAACTCAAGATGATGAAGATATTTGAGATGAGTGATCTGGGTCTGCTCATGTCACGCCCCGGACCTCCCCGGACACGTCGACAACCCGCCGTACAATACGAATAGTCAACCGCAGTCCAACACATTCATATTATACAAGGCGTCATGAATATCATTCACACATAAGTCATCCATAAACAACATAATAAGTAATTCATAAAGCAGCGGAAAACATTGTTTAAAACGAAAGGGCCACATAGGGCTATTCATGAGCACGCAGGCTCTATAATAAAATATCCACGAGCATGTTTATTAATGTTTAAAATCTGAATGGAGGAAGCACGAACCAAGTCTTCGCTCCTAGATGATCTCTCGAGCAACGAGCACAGGAAGCAAGCTCAAGCCTCAACCTGAAAAATGGTGGTGGGACGCCCCCGAAGGGGTCAGCACTCTATACGGCTATAAAGTGCTGGTGTGGCAGGCATCTAATAGATATACAACAAGTATTTCAAACACAAGACCCTCAAATAGGGTGATAGTACATTATGATTGTAACCCTAAGTTACCCCGTTTAAAAAAATATACTTACTTTATATAAAAGTCAAGTAGCCGGCCCGTGGGCCCATGTTCATTTGGAAATCACCATTCCCAACCCCGTGACTATAAGCCACGACAACTCCTAGAGTCCAACCCTAGTACATGACATTGTATTCTAGAGCTCGGCTCTACCACATCACCATACAATTCATATACCTCGGGTCAATTTTCCTACCTTGCGTTCTAGAGCTCGGCTCTATCACATCACCACGCAAGTCCTAGAGCTCGGCTCTAGCTATACAATACATAGACTCCAAGTCTACACCTTACATGCATTCTAGAGCTCGGCTCTATCACATCACCATGCATTAAGGTCCAATTCTCAAGCAACCCTATGCCTAGAATTGACATATCATTAAACTACCATGGGTCATCCTTAAAGACTCCCCATAACTTAACCTTAGTTCCATACTAAGTTATCATATACACTTGAACTACATTCAAGTACCTTTCATACAATCCAATCCCTAGGATCAATTTAATCAACAAGTTCCAATAATCACTAACTAGTATTCCAATACTATTAAGATTATTGTTATCGTACCATTATCCTCATTGTTTGTAATTCTCTACATATTTATAATTATGTAGCAGCAACTTAAGTATTCAATCTCAATACACAAATATTCATTTATGTATCCACATGATTCATACATGAGCAAAATGCCCATTTTCACAAAATAGTTCATTTATACTCATTTAATCTCATATTATTCATACTTTCTCAAATCATTCCAAATTCATTCTTTGGCAACTATATCAATATTTCATCAATATATAGTCATCATAATCCATGAAAAATCATGATTTAAGCATTTAGGTAATCTCATGCTTAACCTACAAGTTGTAAGCAATTAGATGTCAATCCTCACCTCAATTGAGCTTTAAACTTTCCCTTCTTGGTCCAATGGTCAAATCTTTGGTCAAGGTGGATTTGGGACTGATTCCTTGCTCAAATATGAGTGTTAAACAGCCTCCTCAAAGTGCCAGTTCAACCCTTAATCGTTGATACGAAAACAGCCCCTAGAACGGGTGTTTTCCGGCTAACTCGATTCCTAGTTTTCCAATATTTGCATCTAGGTTAGTATCTAACCTTTACATCAATAAAATAACTTTATAAGGACATATTATACACTTGGATTAGTGTATAATAGTCTCACCAATCGTTCATATCATTTGGAGAATGAAAAGTAAAGCTTTGGGGTTAAAACTCACTTTAGAAGATTAAATCCTCTCCTGCGAGGTTGCGTTTTACTCGGACGATTTGGAAGCCTTCCACAACTCCGATTCCTGCAAACCAGGCCTTCACAGATTCCTCGTCTTGAGAGCTTTCTTTTGGTATATCATACGCCTTATTTGGACGAGTGAAGCTCAAGTTATGGATCAAACAAGAGACCCTATCTGCTGGAAAACGAATCCTGCGGCCAGCTTCTCTCTTCTCTTCTCCCTTGGAATATGTGGCTCCCTCTTTCTCTCTTATCTTGGGAGTTCGAATGGGGTGTAGGGGAAATGTATTAGGAAGGCCTCAATCATGCTAAGAGAGCATGTGGTTCACAAAAAGAAAGGTGGGGTATTTGATTGCAATCAAACATGGTATGGACCTCCTCTTTTATTTCCTTTTTGTAATGTTGTAGCTCATGAGTCAAAAGTCCGCCCCACATAGTTGTCTCATCCATTTTTCTTTGTCTTTGCAGGTACCAAGGTCATGTGGGATGGTTCCCAAATGATCCCATTTAATTTGGGGTCCAAAATATCTACCAATACTTCCAAAAATGGGAAGATGGGTCCTATTGTTTTATCTTTGTCAAAAGATGTCTTTTTTTTGTACTCATTCTAATTTATTTAGAACAAGTCAACTTCCTAAATCACATTATTGATCTCCAATATGTGTAGGCTCATCCCAATAATTTACATGATGAAAATTACAAAAGAATGCGGGTTTGAACAATACAATAGTCAATCATGTACTTCGTAAAATATTAATCGTTTCTTCCATTGCTTTGAAATCGGAAATTCAATACATCACTTTTGAATTTTTAAATCGAATTTTCAAGGACGTTCGGGTGCGGTGTCACAAGTTCACCCCCCCTTAACAGGAATTTCGTCCCCGAAATTCACAGCTCTACTCGAATAGGAAAGCATACTGCTTCCTCATCAAAGCCTCCGTTTCCCATGTCTCTTCCTCGACCCGATCGCTCTTCCACAGGACTTTAACCATTGGGACTTCTTTGCTCCTCAGCTTCTTCACCTTTCTATCGGTGACTTTGATAGGTTGAACAGCGTAGTTCAAATCCTCACGTACCTCTACAGGTGGCTTCTCCAATACGTGAGAGGGATCATGCACGTACTTCTTAAGCATGGATACATGAAACACATTATGTATCTTCTCTAACTCAGGAGTCAATTGTAGACGATATGCAACGGCCCCAATCCTCTCTATAATTCTGAATGGACCTATATATCGTGGGTTAAGTTTTCCTCGGGTTTGGAACCGAATGATCCCTTTCCAAGGAGAAACTTTCAAGAATACCTCGTCATCAACCTTAAACTCTAAGGTTTTTCGACGCTTATCTGCATAACTCTTTTGTCTATCCTGAGCCGCCTTGAGTCTCTCTCGAATCAACTTCACCTTTGATTTGGTGACCTCCACCAACTCAGTACCCTCGAGTTTGGCCATGCCAACCTCGTCCCAGCATAACGGTGTACGGCACCTCCTCCCATACAATGCCTCGTATGGAGGCATGCCGATGCTTGCCTGATAACTGTTGTTATAGGCAAACTCCACAAGTGCTAAGTGGTTGTCCCAACTCCCCTGGAACTCCAATGCACAAGCCCTCAGCATGTCTTCTAGGATCTGTATAACCCTTTCAGACTGCCCATCCGTCTGTGGATGGAAAGCAGTGCTGAACTTCAACTTCGTTCCCATAGACTCCTGGAATTTCGGCCAAAAACGTGATGTGAATCGTGGGTCTCTATCAGATACAATGGTCACCGGGACCCCATGCAGCCTCACGATCTCATCCGTATACAATTTGGCTAACCTCTCAAGTGGGTAGGTAGTGTTGATAGGCAAGAAGTGTGCACTCTTTGTGAGCCTATCCACAACGACCCAAACCGCGTCATAGTTCCTGATAGTCCGTGGTAAGCCTACCACGAAATCCATAGTCACGTGCTCCCACTTCCATTCAGGGATGGAGAGTGGTTGCAATAAGCCTGCTGGGTGCTGATGTTCTGCCTTAACTTGTTGACAAGTAAGGCACCGACTGATGTACTCGGCTATTTCCCTCTTCATTCCAGACCACCAGTAACTTTCCTTCAAATCACGGTACATTTTCGTGCCCCCCGGGTGCATGGCATAAGCCGATGAATGAGCCTCCTCTAAGATGGACTTTCGGAGCTCATCATCTGACGGTACACACACTCGGTCACGAAATAACAAGAGACCATCATCTCTTTCCCTGAAATCCTCCACCGGCCCCGCTTGCATGCGTTCCCGGACCTTCATAAGTTCTTCGTCGGCTTCCTGACCCTTCTTGATCTCATCAAGTAAAGTGGGTCTCACCTCAAATCGTGCCAATAAGGCACCATCGCTGGTTACCTCCAGTTGGGCTCTTAATGCCCTCAAATTAGTTATCAATGCCCCAGACGAGCTCTTCCGGCTCAAAGCATCTGCCACCACGTTTGCCTTGCCTGGGTGATACTCTATCACCAGATGGTAGTCTTTTATCAACTCCATCCACCGTCTCTGTCTCATGTTTAGCTCTTTCTGAGTAAACACATATTTCAAGCTCTTGTGATCAGTGTATATGTGACATGTCTCCCCGTAGAGATAATGTCTCCATATCTTCAGTGCAAACACCACTGCCCCCAACTCCAAATCCTGAGTGGGATAATTCACCTCATGCTTCTTCAACTGTCGTGAAGCATAGGCGATTACCCTCCCATTCTGCATCAGTACACACCCAAGCCCTTGGATGCTCGCATCGCTATAGACATCGTACCCCACACCCTGTTTGGGTAATGCAAGTACCGGTGCCTCGGTCAATCGTTTCTTTAGTTCCATGAACCCCTTCTCACATTTGTCATCCCATACAAACTTAGCTCCTTTACGAGTGAGCTTCGTCAATGGTGATGCCAAAACAGAGAACTTCTCCACGAACTTCCTGTAGTAGCCTGCCAATCCAAGGAAACTACGAATTTCCTTGACGTTCTTTGGCCTCTCCCATTCGGTAATGGCTTCTATCTTCTTGTTATCAACAGCAATTCCCGATCCAGAAACCACGTGCCCGAGGAATCCAATCTCCTTTAGCCAAAATTCACATTTAGAAAATTTGGCATAAAGTTGCTTCTCCCGTAGTGTCCAAGAACGAGTATCAAGTGTTCTTCATGCTCTTCCTCACTCTTTGAGTAAATCAAAATGTCATCTATGAACACAATCACGAATCGATCCAAGTATCGATGGAATACTCGGTTCATCAAGTCCATGAATGCCGCTGGGGCGTTTGTTAACCCAAACGACATAACAAGGAACTCAAAATGCCCATACCTTGTGCGGAAAGCACTTTTTGGTATGTCGTCTTCCTTAATCTTCAATTGATGGTAACCCGACCTCAAATCAATCTTTGAAAACACGGTTGCTCCTCGTAGTTGATCAAACAAGTCATCAATCCTAGGCAACGGATACCTATTCTTGATTGTGACCTTGTTCAGTTGACGATAGTCAATGCACATTCGAAGTGTCCCATCTTTCTTTTTCACAAAAAGAACCGGTGCTCCCCACGGGGAGTGGCTTGGTCTAATGAAACCGTTATCCAAAAGCTCTTGCAATTGGGTTTTTTAACTCGTTAAGTTCAGCGGGTGCCATCCGGTATGGCGGTATGGAGATTGGTTTGGTACCAGGCTCGACCTCGATCACAAATTCAATCTCTCTGTCAGGTGGAAGCCTCGGTAGGTCTTTAGGGAAGACATCCGGATACTTACAAACCACCCTCACATCATCGATGTTCGTTTCCTCTTTGGTTTTGTCAACCACGTATGTTAGATATGCGTGGCATCCCTTCCTCATCATATTTCTCGCTCTCACGGCGGATATGATACAACTATTTGATTTGCCGCGGTCCCCCTCGAAGCGTAGGGTGTCCCCATGTGTGCCTTCGAGTTCCAACACCTTTGTGTAGCAATCTACCCTAGCATGATGCTTTTCTAGCCAATCCATCCCTAGGATTGCATCGAACTCCATCATACTCAGCGGTACGAAATCACACGTCAAGGTTTGGCCACCGATTTCCACCATACAAGATGGATAGTAATTGTTTCTTTCAACGTCTTCCCCTAGTGGGGTTGATACCACTACGGTTTGTGTCATTGGTATTGATTGCATCTCTAAGCTCTTGGCAAACGCCTCACTCACGAATGAACGTTGCGCTCCGGTATCGATAAGGATTCGTGCATCCTTCCCGTTAATCTTTAGTGTCCCTACATTCATGAACCATGTAAGACATCTTTCCTATCCTCCCTACTCATTTATAGAAGGTTGCAATGTTCACACGCACGTTAGGGATCAAGAAGAGGCCTTAACATCGCAAAACGATGCGAAAAAATCGGGTTTCGGCAATCTGGGTGCCAGGCACGGCGTGCCCGGGGTAGGCACGATCGTGCCTGGCTCAGGAAAACGCCCTGGGGCTACTGCCTTGGAGGCACGATCGTGTCTGCCTTAGGCACGATCGTGCCTGGGTTGGAAAAATCCTGGGAACCACTGACTTGGAGGCACGATCGTGTCTGCCTTAGGCACGATCGTGCCTGGTTTGGAGAAAAACCCTGGGCAGCTACTGCCTTGTAGGCACGATCGTGTCTGCCTTAGGCACGATCGTGCCTGGGCTGGGAATATTCCTGGGCAGCTACTGACTTGGAGGCACGATCGTGTCTGCCTTAGGCACGATCGTGCCTGGGTCCCAACCGCCTGAAGTTGCCCGAAATCCCCCGGTTCGACCCCAAAACCTCGTGCAATGATCCTAGCGATTAGTATCCTCAATTTATGGACTGATTAAGGATAAAACACTAGTATATGAGAGGCAATACCTGCAACGGAGTCCGGGTTAGCTTGAGCATCCGCCTCCGTCATCGCATAGACCCTAGCCTGGGTCCTCCCTTGGTTCACGGATGGCGCGTTGCTCGCACTTGCTCCCCCTTGCCCCCTGCTTGCTTGAGAAGCTCCGGTTTGACTCCGTGTACCCGTCGGACCGCTACTCGGTCCCGATGTCCTTGCCCCACTCAATTGTGGGCAATGTGCCTTCAAATGCCCGGCATCCCCGCATTGAAAACATCTAGGGGGGTCGCGACATTTACCGGAGTGGTTCTTCTTGCAATTGTTGCAACGAGCTACCACTGAGGTTTGTGACCTCGCGCCTTGCCCACTCGGGCCTTGGTTCCCCCTATATGGTGGCGGTGGTGCCCGGAAAGATCCTCCTCCGTGGTTCCCCTTTTTGTTGGAACCTTGGGAGCCATGACTCTCCCACTTTCTCTTTTTCGCCTCCTCGGCGTCTCTCTTCTTCCTTTCTTCCCATTGCTTCTCTCCTTTCAACCCTTGGTCAACCACTTGGGCAAACGTCATGTTAGGCAATTGTGTTGCCCTGTCACGTATCTCCAAGTCTAGAGCATCCCAGAAGTGGTTCACCATCCGGTTCTCGTCACAAGCATACTCAGGTATGTAATCGGCAAGATCCCTGAACTTGTACTCAAGTTCCCTCACCGTCATGTGGTACCCTTGGGTTAGAAGGGTGTATTCCCTCACTTTCTTGTTCACCTCAAAATCCGAGTAATATTGGGCAAAGAATTCCTGTCGGAAATTCTCCCAAGTGACGGTCTCGCCATATTTGCCTTTGGTCCCATCCCACCACTTGGATGCCATACCTTCAAGCAATCTCACCGCAACCCTTAGTTTATATTCGGGGGTGAGTTGCATGTCCAGGGCTGCCTCATTCAGCCGCTTAATCCATTGTGCCGAAACGGAGATGTCACCCGTCCCATCGAACGGTTTGCACCCCAAGTCTCGTGCCTCTTTGATGTATTTGGAGATCCTTATGATTGGACCTCCATCACCCCGACCCCCATGTGGTTCAATGTGGGCCCTAGAGTCGCCATGGCTTCTCCCTCTTGAAGCCCCGCCCGAAGGTTGCCCAGCCCGGCGCCTTCGGCGTTCCCTCCTCTCCTCACGCTCACGGTGGTACTGTTGATGTAGTGCTTCAATCCGTGCTAAGGAGCCATTTTCCTCCTCATCACTTACATCATCATCATCCCCTTCATAAGGGGTCTCAACCGGTTCAGTTTCCGGTCGATAGGTCGAGTCCTCATAGGACCAGTAGGTTTCACTTTCCGTGTCGACATGACCGTCACTCACGGTCTGTGATTGGCCTCCACGGCCAGCTCCTCTAGATGCCCTAGAGGTCCTTCGACTGCCCTGTCCAGTCTCCACTTGTACACGACCCGTCGGGTTTCTCCTAGTAATCCTGCCACCACGGTCCATTTCTGAAAGAAATTTGGAAGGAGTCGTTAGACTCGTATCAAATGTCAATTGACGGATAGGTACTTAAGACACATTTTGGCTCGAGTCACCGCCATACCAATTGCTAAGGGTACCATCTTACCAATTAGAGACCTTGCAACCCAAGTACCAAAAGCTCTCCAAGTACAAAACTTCTATGCTCATGGTTTTCAAAATCTTTTCAAAAAGAGGATTTTGAGACTTCATTATGAAGTTTACGGACTAAGGCTCTGATACCAACTTAATTGTCACGCCCCGGACCTCCCCGGACACGTCGACAACCCGCCGTACAATACGAATAGTCAACCGCAGTCCAACACATTCATATTATACAAGGCGTCATGAATATCATTCACACATAAGTCATCCATAAACAACATAATAAGTAATTCATAAAGCAGCGGAAAACATTGTTTAAAACGAAAGGGCCACATAGGGCTATTCATGAGCACGCAGGCTCTATAATAAAATATCCACGAGCATGTTTATTAATGTTTAAAATCTGAATGGAGGAAGCACGAACCAAGTCTTCGCTCCTAGATGATCTCTCGAGCAACGAGCACAGGAAGCAAGCTCAAGCCTCAACCTGAAAAATGGTGGTGGGACGCCCCCGAAGGGGTCAGCACTCTATACGGCTATAAAGTGCTGGTGTGGCAGGCATCTAATAGATATACAACAAGTATTTCAAACACAAGACCCTCAAATAGGGTGATAGTACATTATGATTGTAACCCTAAGTTACCCCGTTTAAAAAAATATACTTACTTTATATAAAAGTCAAGTAGCCGGCCCGTGGGCCCATGTTCATTTGGAAATCACCATTCCCAACCCCGTGACTATAAGCCACGACAACTCCTAGAGTCCAACCCTAGTACATGACATTGTATTCTAGAGCTCGGCTCTACCACATCACCATACAATTCATATACCTCGGGTCAATTTTCCTACCTTGCGTTCTAGAGCTCGGCTCTATCACATCACCACGCAAGTCCTAGAGCTCGGCTCTAGCTATACAATACATAGACTCCAAGTCTACACCTTACATGCATTCTAGAGCTCGGCTCTATCACATCACCATGCATTAAGGTCCAATTCTCAAGCAACCCTATGCCTAGAATTGACATATCATTAAACTACCATGGGTCATCCTTAAAGACTCCCCATAACTTAACCTTAGTTCCATACTAAGTTATCATATACACTTGAACTACATTCAAGTACCTTTCATACAATCCAATCCCTAGGATCAATTTAATCAACAAGTTCCAATAATCACTAACTAGTATTCCAATACTATTAAGATTATTGTTATCGTACCATTATCCTCATTGTTTGTAATTCTCTACATATTTATAATTATGTAGCAGCAACTTAAGTATTCAATCTCAATACACAAATATTCATTTATGTATCCACATGATTCATACATGAGCAAAATGCCCATTTTCACAAAATAGTTCATTTATACTCATTTAATCTCATATTATTCATACTTTCTCAAATCATTCCAAATTCATTCTTTGGCAACTATATCAATATTTCATCAATATATAGTCATCATAATCCATGAAAAATCATGATTTAAGCATTTAGGTAATCTCATGCTTAACCTACAAGTTGTAAGCAATTAGATGTCAATCCTCACCTCAATTGAGCTTTAAACTTTCCCTTCTTGGTCCAATGGTCAAATCTTTGGTCAAGGTGGATTTGGGACTGATTCCTTGCTCAAATATGAGTGTTAAACAGCCTCCTCAAAGTGCCAGTTCAACCCTTAATCGTTGATACGAAAACAGCCCCTAGAACGGGTGTTTTCCGGCTAACTCGATTCCTAGTTTTCCAATATTTGCATCTAGGTTAGTATCTAACCTTTACATCAATAAAATAACTTTATAAGGACATATTATACACTTGGATTAGTGTATAATAGTCTCACCAATCGTTCATATCATTTGGAGAATGAAAAGTAAAGCTTTGGGGTTAAAACTCACTTTAGAAGATTAAATCCTCTCCTGCGAGGTTGCGTTTTACTCGGACGATTTGGAAGCCTTCCACAACTCCGATTCCTGCAAACCAGGCCTTCACAGATTCCTCGTCTTGAGAGCTTTCTTTTGGTATATCATACGCCTTATTTGGACGAGTGAAGCTCAAGTTATGGATCAAACAAGAGACCCTATCTGCTGGAAAACGAATCCTGCGGCCAGCTTCTCTCTTCTCTTCTCCCTTGGAATATGTGGCTCCCTCTTTCTCTCTTATCTTGGGAGTTCGAATGGGGTGTAGGGGAAATGTATTAGGAAGGCCTCAATCATGCTAAGAGAGCATGTGGTTCACAAAAAGAAAGGTGGGGTATTTGATTGCAATCAAACATGGTATGGACCTCCTCTTTTATTTCCTTTTTGTAATGTTGTAGCTCATGAGTCAAAAGTCCGCCCCACATAGTTGTCTCATCCATTTTTCTTTGTCTTTGCAGGTACCAAGGTCATGTGGGATGGTTCCCAAATGATCCCATTTAATTTGGGGTCCAAAATATCTACCAATACTTCCAAAAATGGGAAGATGGGTCCTATTGTTTTATCTTTGTCAAAAGATGTCTTTTTTTGTACTCATTCTAATTTATTTAGAACAAGTCAACTTCCTAAATCACATTATTGATCTCCAATATGTGTAGGCTCATCCCAATAATTTACATGATGAAAATTACAAAAGAATGCGGGTTTGAACAATACAATAGTCAATCATGTACTTCGTAAAATATTAATCGTTTCTTCCATTGCTTTGAAATCGGAAATTCAATACATCACTTTTGAATTTTTAAATCGAATTTTCAAGGACGTTCGGGTGCGGTGTCACAGCTCAGTTATTATCTGGGACTTGAAGTCAAGCAAGAAGAAGGAGTTACAAGCTTGAATCAGTCAAGCTATGCCAAAAGAATACTTGAGCAGATGGGGATGGGAGATTGTAATCCCTGTAGCATACCTATGGAGCCCAGGAGCAGGCTGAGTAAATTTGATGAAGGTATGCTAGTAGATGCTACATTGTATAGAAGTGTAGTAGGGAGTTTGAGGTATTTGGTTAATACTCGTCCTGATATGGCATACTCAGTGGGAATGGTGAGTAGGTATATGGAGGTTCCAACTCAAAATCATATGAATGCAGTGAAACAAATCTTGAGATACATTAAGGGTACTTATGATATGGGCTGTGTGTTCAAGTATGGTGAAGAAGATAATGTGCTAGTTGGATATTGTGATAGTGACTTGGCAGGTGATGTAGATGACAGAAAGAGCACCACAAGAATCTTATTTTTCTTAGGAGGAAGCCCTATAACATGGGTGTCACAAAAACAAAAGGTAGTGGCACCTTCCTCATGTGAGGCAGAGTATATGGCTGCCACAGGAGGTGCTTGTCAGGGGATATGGCTCATGAAGTTGCTGGACAGTTTGAGAAGAAAAATCAAAGAGAAACCACTACTGAAAATAGATAACAAGTCAGCCATAGCATTGGCCAACAATCTTGTGCATCATGAACGAAGCAAACATATCGATACGAAGTTTCACTTTATACGAGAGTGTATAGAGAAGGGAATCATAGGCATTGAGCATGTGAGAACTGAAGGGCAGCTAGCTGATATATTAACAAAACCACTTGGGAGGCAAAGATTCACCGAGCTCAGGACAAAGATAGGGATCCAACACATCAAGATGGGGAAACAAGTTTAAGGGGGAGAATGTTACATATTAAACTTGTTAGCTAATATGGTTATTATCTTTTGTTTTATTTATTTATTTGTTTTCCTTTATGTTGATGTACTTTGTGGGTGTACGTGTGCTAGAAAGTGGGGAGGTTTTTTCATCCACTTAATCTAACCAACTTCCCCTTTCATTTTGATATAAAATGAATGACTTGGGCGTAGGTGAAGATTAAGACGGTTTTTCCTTCTCATTGAAGCATTCTACACATTATGAATGAATATATGAATACATTTTGATCTTCTCTTTTATGAATCAAAGTCAGTTGTACATCAGCGGCGGTGTTGTGCCAATTGAAATGGGTGGGCGAGGCAGTCTGACAAAGCATCAACTCAGGGTTTTGTAGCAGTTGTTATACCGTATGACCGGTATACGGTGAGCACCGTATACCGCATACGGTTTTTGGCAAGCACCGGATCTTTATTTTTTATTTCTCTCTTTTTTTTTTAAAAAAAATGGTAATAACTTTTTTATTTTTTATCCAATTTTTATAAAATTTATACCAACATTTTTTATTTTTCATGATCTTTCAAATGAGACCAATATTGCCTATGTAATTTTAACCTATGTAAAATATGTAATTTTACGTGTAGAAATATGTAACTCACATCCAGTCAGGCCAAATGCAACTCGTGTGTATAAATATGTAAAATACAAGGAGTATAAATATGTATAAATAAGTAACATTGTAAATAAATTTAATAGTGAGACTTTTTAAAATCAAGGAGTTGACGAAGCGTGAGCAAATTTCTCAACTCGCTCGAGCGCGATGCATGCAGAAATAATCAGCACTATAGACATTAGAAATTGCTCCCATTCAGCACTCTGTATAATATAATGGTACTACTCACTTGTTTTAATTTCAGACTGTATTATTTCACTAATTAACAGGGGCATGGATGATCCTTGTCCATTTCAATCAACGTAATACAAAAGCAGTAAACTGTCTCTCCTCATTAACACATGAAGTGATACTAACGAATCAAGTTTCAAGAAAAAGCTTTAAGATGCATCAAAGCAACAATCTAAATAGCCAATGAATATATATGACCTATGTAACTTTACTTAAAAAAATATGTAACTCGCGTTCAGACAAGTCAAATGCAACTCGTGTATATAAATATGTAACTCGCGTGTATAAATATGCAACTTTACGTGTAAAAATATGTAACTCTACGTGTAAATATATGTAACTCGCGTTCAGGCAAGTCAAATGCAACTCGTGTGTATATATATGTAACTCGCGTGTAGAAATATGTAACTTTACGTGTAAAAATATGTAACTTCACATATAAAAATATGTAACTCACATGTATAAATAACTAATACAATAAAATTTTTACATATACAATTTTAAGATAATTTGTGATTTACACAATTATTTTTCTGTATTAAATTTAGTTTGGTTTTCCTTATAATCCAATACACATTAATATAATAGTTTGATAATTTCTTAAAATTACATAAGCAATATTGGACTCATTTGAAAGATCATGAAAAATAAAAAATGTTGATATAAATTTTATAAAAATCGGATCAAAAATAAAAAAGTTATTACCATTTTTTAAAAACAAAAGGATAAAAAATAAAGAAACCAGGCCTCAATACTCCGTCGTTTTGCGACCGGGAGCACCATCCTCATGGTGCGCCAGTTGCAGGATATAATTTGCGATTTTGTAGCCAAAACAGATAACGATTCGGTTTCTGAAAGCCCATTTACTTGAGTTGTTTTTACGGCCCATTAGGAAAAAAAAAGGTAGAGAAAAATATGAAACAAATGTTCAAACTTCAAAGTAGTGATGTTTTTACGGAGGGTTCGGATTTCTCTCTAGGTTTTGGCTTTATCGATGCCGCCTAGTGTAGCTTTTGTTGTCCCGATTTTCGTCTCAGCCATTGCTTTAGGTTGGAACGGGATCGGCGGTGGGTGCTGGTGTCTCGGAGGACTTCGAAAACTGCAGTGACGGGTCAATTCTTTTGCTTGACTGTTTCGCTTCGTCTTTTGGGTCGAGCGAGGGTTTTTCGCAGGGACGCAACTTTGCAGACGGATTTTACACGTCGAAGCGGGAAGGGAGATGAAAGTTGTACACAACTGGGCAGCGGAGAATAAAACAATTAACTGCGGTCTTGCTATAAGAGGGGGACGCGGAGGAATGAACGAGCTTCGAGTATGCCGGATTTTGATCGTCAATGGAGAATCAATTGGTGTGGTACCGATGGTACGGCCCCCTCCAGAACCACCGCCAAGGGTTGATCTCTGGCGGCGGCAGGGGTGTTATTTAGTTTGTTTTGTTTACTTTTCCAACAATTGTTACTTTTTCTTTGGTGTGTGTTTCTTTGTTTTTGTTTTTATTCCAGTTTGTAAGACGTTGATATGGGATGTGGGGGATGAGAGGAATTTGGTAACCGTGTTAGGCTTTTTGTTTCCCGGTTATGGATCAGCGAATTATATTGCTACGACGATTAATTCTGAGTTTGGTTCGAGGGATGACGATTATCAGTTTTCTTTTTGTCAGTTGACTCATACTCTGATCTATTATTGGTTATTTATCTAAGCCGTTTTCAGTAAAAAAACTTCAAAGTAGTGATATACTACGTAAGATGTATGTACTTGGATTGGTTTCAGTTTCACAACAGATCATATCAGATCAGAAGAGATCAGATTTCGACAGTTATAAAATACGTATAAAGCAGACATCTACCAAATAAAACTAGACTAAATAGATTCGATTAGACCAGACTAGAAAATTTCAAACCAATTAAACTATTCTTAATTGGTAAATAACTAGTTCCCTGATTAAAGTGCTTCCTTGTTGGAGTATACGTGTATAACATATCTCAAGATCCTGTCTATTGTCTTTGTTTTATTTTTTCAACCTCAAAATAGAGAAACAATTAGGAGGATAAATGCTAGTTAAGAAATGATTTAATTCATGTAAATAAAATTGAGACGAATGTTCATGTTGGGAAGATGCTAGTGGGTACAAAGGGAAGATGCTAGTGAGTACAATCATGCTCGAATGAGGAGTGTTGTATTGGAACATAAGATATAGTTATACTATTATTATTAATATTACGTGTACATATTCTTATTTGTACTTATCATGTACTACAGTTGTACTACCTTAGCACTTATCTTATTCCGTATGATTAGCATGTACGTAGCTAGGTAGTTGTTAGGAGTTCTTATCCTACTGGCTCGAGTGATGTATATATATACTACCACAAGTGTACGTATTATATACGATCAATAATATACAATTCATATTTCTACATGGTATCAAGAGCCAATCTCTAAAGAGTAGTTTTTTTTTTCCTTGATTCTCTTCCGTCATGAACATCACTCCAACTACCACGGTGGTTCCCCTCACCGCCACCACCCATTTCCCCATCAAGCTCACCACATCTAACTTTCTGGTGTGGAAGTGTCAAGTCTACTCCGCCCTGGTTGGTCTCGGACTAGATGCCTATATCGATGGGACGATTCAAATACCGGAAAAATTCACCGACGATGCCAAAACCCAGATCAATCCGTGCTACACCATCTGGTTCCGCCAAGATAAAACTATTCTTAGCGCCCTTCTCGGGAGCTGCTCCGACACCATTCAGCCAGTCATATCTTCGGCTACATCTGCTCGCAACGCGTGGGATAAGCTTAAGCTTACCTATGCCAGTACATCCCGTGGCCGTATTATCTCTCTGAAGACCTCGCTTGCTCGCACTAAAAAGGGATCCCGATCTATTCAAGCCTATCTCACTGAAATGTATGCACTCTCCGAGGCGTTAGCGTTGGCCCAAAGTCCATTATCCGAGGAAGATCTTGTTATCAATATTCTCAATGGACTGGGCCCAGACTATAGCGAACTTACATCCGCCATCCGGGTTCGCGAAACTGACTTGCCGCTTGAAGAACTCCAGGACATATTACTGGAGCATGAAGCACGTCTCCAGGAGAACATCAACTCTAGTGACAATATCATACCAACGGCCCATGTCACCCAACTAGGTGATCGACGCATCCCACATCCAGAACGTCGCTCACCCTCCAATAATGACCGACGTGGGTTCCCTACTCGCAGGGGGCGTGGACCTTCCTATGCTAGTCAGCCACGATCAAATGCAAATACGACTGTTTGTCGTTTTTGTGACCATATTGGTCATGACGTGCGCCAATGCAGAAAGCTCCAACGATTCCTAAGAGATAATCAAGTGCCCCATCCAGCATCTCCGGTTGTCAACCACACTGCCACAACTCCGGCTGGCCTCGATCAGCCTTGGCTCTTTGACAGTGGTGCCTCTCATCATGTCACCGCCAATGCTGCCAATCTGCCATCTTACAACGATTATGGTGGTCCTGAGGAAGTTCATCTTGGCAATGGTAAGACTCTACCCATTACCCATACTGGCCACTCCTCACTGCCCACGCACACCCGCTCCCTCTCTTTACCTAATATCCTATGTGTTCCCCAACTTCGAAAAAATTTAATTTCCGTTGCTAAATTATGTCACACTAACCATGTTTCTGTTGAATTTTTTTCAACACATTTTCTTGTTAAGGATCGAGCCACGGGGGTCCCACTAATGCGCGGGGAGAACATTAATGACGTTTACTATGCACCGGTTCCATGTTCACCACAAGTTCATGTCACACAAGTTTCAGTTTCACCGTCTTGGCATCATACATTGGGTCATCCGTCCAGTCGTGTTTTTTCTTCTTTAATTAGTCAAAAGAAAAATTCTTTTCCGTGTAATGTCTCCAATGATAATAATTGTACTTCATGTTATCTTAATAAAAGCACCAAATTACCATTCTTTAATAATTCTATGACTGCTACTCGTCCGCTAGAATTACTTTACTCTGACGTGTGGGGACCAACAGATATCTCTATTGATGGTCACAAATACTATCTTATTTTTGTTGACTACTATACGAGATATATTTGGTTCTATCCCATGAAACTAAAATCGGACGTTTCCCATATATTCCCTCAATTTCAAAGGTTGGTAGAAAAACAATTCCAGTTACCCATTATTGCTATTTTCTCCGATAATGGAGGAGAGTATATTAAACTTAAATTTTATCTCAACGCCCAAGGTATATCTCACTACACCACACCACCCCATACCCCTGAACACAATGGTGTAGCTGAACGCCGGCATCGTCATATTGTTGACACCGGTCTATCACTACTTCATTATTCTGGCTTACCCATAAAATTTTGGTCTTATGCATTCCACACTGCTGTCTACTTAA